GTTTTAAAAATAATATTTGAAGACATAATGAGATTAAATACAACTCCAGTTCAATCTGAGATGATGCCCAACCGGTATAGTTGTTAGCGTCGCTGACTGAAATATTGAAATGCCCGAGTTCGAATCCCAGAGAAGGCATGGATGTTTATAAATGTGATAGTGTCCTTGCAGTATGGGGGCACTTTAAGTATGAGACGAGCCGAAAGTCCTCTCAAGACGCTGGTAGTGGTGAAGAAAGGTGGGAAACTCTCGGACCCATTTCCCCAGGGGTGCTCTCCATTTAAACTGGGGGCGGAACTCCAGTCGCACTGTCACCTGTAAGGTGCTTAAGGCTGTTGACAACCACAGTCATATCTTGCCCTTCTTGCCAAGAGAAATTACGTGGGTTTGGCACTGGCATAGCTAGGGTGAGGCAAAGGCAAATGTTACATAAGGCATCTGTGCAGGGGCGAAGCATCCAGAGAGCGTCAAATTTAAGCCACAAAATTTAGAATGAAAGGTTTTCCATTCTTGGCCTACAGAAAGAGACGCAAAATTTCCCTTGCCCCCAGGCGCTGAAAACCTTAGCTACGGCTCTGGGATTTGGGCTGCCTATAGGCCAGACAAGTGAGCATTAGTTACCAGCAAAAACAACAATTTGAGATGTATAAATAAAGTTGAAAACTTTTATTTATGTAACAAAAAGAGCAAATAAACAAAACAAAAAATAGCAGAAAACAATAGAGTATGCATGTGGAACACTGTGTTATAATGAATTGACTAATAATATTCAGTAGTATTTGAAAGTTCAGGAGCTTCAAACAATAAATCAGCTATTCATTGAAAAAAATTACATTTTAATATTGAAAAGTGGAGAAATAATACGACCTCGTGGGCTACTTATTAAGTTTGTATGCATCAGATACAAATTTTCAGTGCATGTAACCCATAAAATAAGTTATCAATTCTAGAAAGAGCACGGCTTATTCTTGAAATAAAATTACAAAGATCGTTATTAAATTCGGAATACAACAGGAAGAGAGTCATTCATATTTTTTTTAAGTTACGATATTGATTTTTAGATTTAAGTTTAAGTAGAAACCTTTATAAGGCTAGGAGATCAGTTTGTGGAGATTTCCTATGATTATTCTCAGTTAAAGAGTTAGAGGAAACGCAATGATTTAGAGGCTATCAGTTTAAGTTACAGTAAGTACATGGGACACCACGACATCGTCATTGACAAAATTGGTATAGCCCGCATATACTAACTAACTAGAGAACTGCAGCCCCATGAGCACATCAGTGCCAAGCTTTGGGTCTTTGTTGGATACTATTAAAAGGCTGCATTTTGCACAATAGGACAATAGTTACATAAGGTTACATTTCATTTGTGGGCTTATGGTACTTGTGCACAGAAAGATAATTTGACAAGGTACTGGGAATTGGTTATGTAAATAAGCATAGTAATTAAATTAAATCCATAGTTTGAAATGCTAATAGAGTACGAAATACAATATGAGAATACAAAAATACAAAGTGTAAAATACCAAAAGCAGTCTGCATTGAGAGGAGCATTAACAGGGTACTGGGAATTGGTTATGTAAATAAGCATAGTAATTAAATTAAATCCATAATTTGAAATGCTAATAAAGTACGATTCTTGCGTAGAAATATGCAGAAAAGTTGCCATGTCTTGTTATATAGTAATTTAACGAAGGATTCAATGGGGCGCATTATTTGGAATTAAGTTATATGTGTGTCTTTTCGCTGAAACATAATTCCAAATATCTTGACAAAGCTGTGAAGCAAGTTATTTTACTTGGTATTTGAAATTTGATCGAACCCATGGTCAGATTGTAGCAAAAAAATGAGGTGTGTGATCTTAAAGGAATATAAAATTAAAGTAACTTATCCCCAAAGGATGACAATTCAAATAATACAAATCAATTAATATTTATTATATCTTGACATCATAAAATTTTTAATGAGTACCAGCATAAATTAAGTAAATATCGCCAGATAGAAAAATAATAGTCCTACCATTTTGAATTCTAACCTCTCGTACGAGATGTGCGTAATATTCCAATTAAGTGAAGTAGATCTCATTCCATCGACGTAAAGCAAAGTTTCGTGATAAAAAAAAAGTCAAATGTTTTAACGGTGGAAATTGAGTTAGCTGGTTATTCCAATATATTTTAGAAGAAGCACAAGGCAAATACTTATATCATCCGAAAAGTTCTAGCACGTGCACATGAAGTCTTTTCGAAGATTTTTTAAATTGTAGAACATTATCAGTTATCAGCAGTTGTTAGGTATATAGATCGTTTTAGTTGTATCTTCAGTTCCAATTTCTTTACTAGAAGGAATACAATGACTCTACATCCAGCAACGGAAAATGGCAGTCAAAAAAAGGAACGGAAAAGAACAAAAATGGCACACGCGTCAACCGGGGTGAGGACAGCCAGAAGGCCGTCCTACACCTTCGGAGCCCAACAGCAGAAGGAGGAGAAATCGTTTGTAGCCGTCAATTCAGCGGTCGCAGTGCACTTGATGTTGAATAAATGTGGAGGCTTGCCTGCACACACATCATTTCAGTACCATCGTATTTAAGAGCTGTTTCTTCGGTAAATTGTTATGCCTGCTCATTAGCAAATGGCCACTTTGTCCTTTGATCTATGAAATTTCAAGTTTTTAGTTTGGAATAAAGGCAGTAAGAGAATTGGAAAGAGAAGAAGACATCATTAATCACTAGAGTAGCTGTGTGGGAGTAAGATTTTTATGGCGAATTCATTGAGAATTTTGAGGCTGGCTATTTCAATCTCTGCTTTTAAGCAGCGATTGTTGACAATCTGGCATAATGCTGACAATTCGGCATGGAAAACATTATTATTATTTTGGAGATAGCCGTTCTATTTGAAAGGGGCAAATTGAAAATAGACTGATGAACAAACGTTTTCTTCAATGTTTCTTCCACTAGTGTATGGAGTTGGAGATGAACTACTTGAATTTTGGTTAGACATTTGAATTTGGTTAGACAAGAATTTTGTTTTATTGAACCGAAGTGCTGGAGGAATAAAAGCGGCATTACTTTTCTTTTTCTTTTCATATTTCGATGGTAGAAGATTTAGTTCTTAAATTCTGCAGCTTGGTCACGTTGAAGTACTTTCACACAGGTGCATATGCATTGATTGATAGTGAAAGATTACTAGATGAAGCATAAAGGACTATATTTGAAGTCTGGTCATATGCTTGAATTATGCAAAAGGTGAAAGATCTTTGATTTGAATTTAAACATTTAATCTTCTTCGCTGTCATTGCTTGTGCCCAAATTCTGGCTCGAAATTAACTAATTTTGATTTAACGTTTTCAAAGAAGAATTCGCGTTATTTGAGAATTTAAGTCTCAGTTATACCCATGTATATGTTCAGACAATTGGTTGTTGATGTTGTACGCTTAATATTTTCTAGGTGAGGAATGTCAGAAGAAAAATATTTGTCGTCATTTATTAACCTATGCTATTTGACTTTATTCACAGACTTGATGATTTGATTATTAATTTTTAGAGCTAAGGTTTTGGAGATGTTTTGTCTTGGTTAATGGTTTATTAAGATTCGACTTACTATATGTAGACAGACTATACATACTGTGCAGAGACTTATTATATGCGCGAGTTGCAGTTTTAAAATATTTCAATGTTGGCTAAATATCTGAAGTGTTACATTACCATTAGCTTTTCAAATAAATCTGGTACGATCACTTGGGACAAAATCAAACGGAAGCAAACTTGTTTGAGGTAGTTTGGCCATGATTAGGCAATGATGCTGTTAAAACGGATACGCCAGAGGTCTGCACTCATTCAAGGCCACTGGAAACATTCTTCGATTTGATTAACTCAGAATTTTAGTGATGTAAAGAACCATATTTTTCTTGTTTCTGAAATCATCCCGATTAAATGACGTATTTTGAGGTCAGTTAAAGGAACGCAGAAATTGTAAAATTGTTGGCCACCATAAAGAATCAAAGACTAATTTATTATTATTTGTGTTTTCAGATAGGTATATTGGAAAACACGAAGATACTTTAAGATTATTATTTGACGCGATTCTCAGAAAAGACGATCTGATATCTTCAGCAGCAGCTGAAGAGGCTGCATTAAACACTATTAGTTTAGTTCGTTTGGCATTTGATGTGAGAACATTCACTAAAGCTTGCAGTTTTGAGTTTTCAGCAATTGAGTTGTGTAAATGCGTCAAGATTGTTTTCTTTTCGACATTGATTAAAAGCTCTTTAGACTTAGAAGTTCGAATATTATTGAGATGAATATCCAGATTTTGTAGATTAAGAGCCGAACTTACTTGATTTCGTTATTTGTTCGAATATTCACTCGGAATCTTTAGGTTTTAAAAATAGAATTTGATTTTGTATTTGATTTATAAGGTTTAAAATCTTTCAATGCTGTAAACTGCGACCAAATCTTTGACAGACATAAAGTTAAGTCCAAATGCAAGTACAGAAACTTGAGAAAGATGTAAAAGACCCTTTTTTAAAATCAAATTGATGAAGAGAAGGCTTACCTTGTGCTTATAAATCCGCCAGCAGTTACGGCGAATTTGGTAATATTGAATTACCAAAGGCTACACAGAGCAATTTATTCGCGAAGTTGGCTCAGAATTCACCAGTGTGAATTTATCCATCGCCAACTAGTAATGCAACACTGAAGACAGAAAATCTTATCTATAACAGCAAAGCTAGTAACGTGAACTTCAAGAGCAGAAAGCACTCTAATTTAACAATATCAAAACGTCCCTTTCAACACACGCGAAATAATTTTAATTCTAGCTCGAAAACGGAAAGAGAGAAGTGACAGTAATGATTCCAAATCTAAATTAACTGTCATGTAAATTTAATGAACCTCACAGATTCTTTGTAAACTGTTTTGGAGGAATATTCTTAGCAGAAGGAATGGAATAGGAATCTGGGGATTGTTCTAGAAAGATGTTTCAATAAATGTTTGAACTTACTGTTTTTGAAAATGTTCCATCTCTTCAGAAATAGCTGCAGTATTTGATTACTGAAGAAAGGGTTGCTCTCTTAATTCCAAGAAGGTGTCTTCCTGTTCTGCTGAAGTAAATTCTTGGCCTTCTAATAACTAAAAAAAAAAAAAAAAAACAAAACAAAAAAAAAAAAAAAAAAAAAAAAAAAAAAAAAAAAAAAAAAAAAACAGTACATTAGTTAAAGGCCCAATAATATCGTTATATCTTGTGCATTAAGTTTTATATTTTTACAGATATTTAGTTGATCCTTAATTTTATCAGAAATTCGTCGAATATTATTTAATTTGGTCGAATTAGATTTAATTTTAGGTTGGCTATTAACAGAATGTGAGACGTTTAATAGGAATGGTAAGGAAGACTTGTATTTGGAAACCATTGAAAGAGATTTACAAAAATTTCACAATTGGCACAAAATGCAGACACAATAAAATTATATGCCCATATATTACGGATCTGTTACTAAACAAGGATTGGTGTAAATTAGTTATCCCACATATTCCGGAACATAAAGGGAAACATTTTTCTACTGGCAGCAAAAAGGAATGTTTTTATACAACAGCTTTAGTAGGTGAATGCACTGAAATTGAAGGGGGTTTTAGGTATCCCAGAAGCCTAATTTACAAATTATATGAAGTGAGGTGTCAGAATATGTGAAGTTCCAGGCTTCGGGTATCTTAAAGAGAAACCAAAAAAATAAATTAATCTTCCATTTGGACATGAATTTATGCGAAACTGAATGAATTGAAAGCGTATTTTACAAGTGTCCAGTAGAAAGCAGTACTAGTACAGGTAGAAATTAGGTGATCACCTCTGCAGTATCTCAGGTGATTAATGTATTACTGACCCTAGCTAATTGTTAGGCTTCGTCCCTAATTTTGAAAAAGAACACCCCGGAGAGCTGTCCGAGAGTCTGCTACTCCTCCTCCCCTTCCACCAATATCTCCAGAGACTTACGGCTCCCTTTATATTTTTGTAGGGCTGGCTTTAGTTTACTAACCACTTATTCTGATTTTGGTATTTTTTCCGAATTCTATGTTTCTCCTCGCATTTCCTTGCCAGGATGCAAATTAAGCGGGTGAAACAAATAGATTAGAGAGCACACATTTACTATTCTGTCCTTCTAGTTTGTAAACTTAGCTGCGGCTACGCTTTTTGGTCATTGATTTAATCTATCGCCTGTGTAGTTTACTGAGTCAGCCCGTTAGGTAAAATTATATTGTAAAGTCTAGCACTTCTCACTTTTCGAATTTATTGTTAACACCGCAAGTAGTGTTTTTTTTTTTTTTTTTTTTTTTTTTTTTTTTTTTGTGAGCACGAAGTTTTTGCCTTTCTGTTAAAGAGTTGTTCTTAATAAAAAGTGCTCTGTGCACCAGTTACCTGTTGTGTTACTTTTCATGTCTGCGCGAGAAGTTGCCTTGCTTAACTTTGAGATCTAGATACTTTGTATGATAGCAAAAAGAGTAAGATCTTATATTTTTCTCATATTTTGAGTGCATAGTACCCTACAGACATTATACGTTTAAAAAAATCCATGCCTACGGGATTCAAGCCCAGGATCATCGGCACGGCATTCAGTATCACCAAACACTATACGGGATGGGTACCGTAGAAGGTACTAGCGCATGCACAACTGATTGAAATATTATCCTAATATACAGTGGTTACCAAAATTGTGGACTTTTTTGAAAATTTTTATGTTTTTGAACTTTGTATGCTGATAGAAAACGTTACGTTTCACAAAATGCAAACTTGTATATATCATTTTAAAGAGAATGTATTACTGAATTCAATACAAAACACAAAATTCAATTATTAGAAATACAAAGAAAGTTAAACGATAATAGTTATCGATATACATTAAATAGTGATGATTGCAGTGAGTTATCAGTACTTATTAGGGTACCCTTTATTTTTGATTACAGCTTCACATCGACATTTCATTGAGCTGACAAGAGTTTTAAGCTCTTCTTTCGTTATTACGTGATGCCAGGAAACAATTATAGCCTCAATTAGTTCCCTTTTATTTGATGGGCGCCTCATTCGGACAAGAGTTTTCAAACGGTGCCACAAATTTTCGATAGGATTGAGGTCAGGACTGTTTCCTGGCCAGGACAACAATTTAATATGCTCTTTGTACGAAACCACTCTTTCGATATTTTGACCGTGTGGCAAGGAGCAGAATCTTGCTGAAAAATAAACGAAGCATTGTTAGGAAAGAGATCTCTGATGGAAGGTAGAAGTTTTAGTTCTAGAATAGTGTCAATGTAATTTCCGGCATTCAGTGTCCCATCGACGACATGAAGGCGACCAATACCATCTGCTGACATGCATGACCAAATCATAACACTAACTGTGTTCTTCACAGTTGCTTGAATGCAGTCAGGATGTAGCTCTTCTCCTATTCTACGTCTTACATATTTTCGCCCATCACTACCGAATAACGATATCTTAGTTTCATCACTCCATATAACTTGTGACCACTGATCATCTGTCCAATTAATGTGTTCCTTTGCCCACTGTAGTCTTTTGTTTTCCGTTGCTGAAAATAAAGATAAGGGTTTTTTCGTGGAATTCTACCTTTCAGTCCAACATCTGTTAATCTTCTCCTGATTATTCTTGAACTGACAGAAACCCCAGCATCATTCAGATCACTTCTGATGGCCGCTGATGACATTTTCTATCTTGGAGACATAGTCCTTTTATTCTTCTGTCATCAATAGATGGGGTGCACCTTTTTTGGCCTTTTCCTTCTTTGTTTTTTTATTGAATTTGTCTTCTAATATCGTAAACAAAACTTTCGGACTCCAGATGTAGTCACTGAACCACCCACCTGTCTTGCAATTTCAGCATAGGAAAGACCACTTTCTCGTAACACAATAATATTACATCTCTTTCTAGGTGTCCAATCTACTCTTTTATTTGATAAACTGTTAAACATTGTGGCTCAGCACCTTACCTAGCGTAATGAGAGTTACAAAATATTCAGTGTGACTGTCTTCATTTATAAGAATGGTCGTCAGACATGACACGACATTCTGCACATCATCGAAGAGGCTTTCAGCTGAAATTTCTGTCGCATAGCAATGAATAACTTCTTTCAGTATGGGCAATGACGACGGTCTAACGCTTCACACTATGAGATTCAAGTAGCTCCATAATCAAAGTGAGATGTATAGTCATAGAAGATTATAAGAGCTAGACGGGATATATATCCATACCAGATGTAAGGGTTAGACAAGATGTATAGCTATGAAAGACGTGAGGGCTAGAGATACTTGTGGTAATTAGTGCTGGAAAGAGCGACTGAAGTTATGGTCGTAACCAAATGTCAATAGCAGCACATGCCAAGAGGATCAGTGTGGAGGCGCATGTTATGTTATGTAGTATTTGCCTCTCCTGTAATAAGGGAATGATGCTTTTTCTTAAAATTTTTATAAATTTCCGCCGTCCTGATCAGTACAGTGGCTACCCATGCTGGCTGCTTTACCGATGGTCCCTGATTCGAATTCCTAAGAGAGCAGATGTATATCTGTAAGTGTATAATATCTATGTGGCATGGCGTACTTAAAATACTGGAGAAGCGAAAGTCCTCTCGAGTGGCTTGGTAGGAGGGAAAAGAGGGGTGGGAAACCTTGGATCCGCCCGCCCAAAAATGCTCGACATGAAATTGTGGTAAAATGTTTAAAGTTTTATCTGTGTGATGACATGTCACTAGAGCATCATTTGTCCCAGGATTTTACAGTGAGCTGTCAAAGCAAGATGGATACCCGTTTGGTCTTCTCTCCGTCGAATGCACGCTACGCGTGATTTAAGCAATTGAATGGGTGACGATCATCGTGGTAATTTTAAACTGTTGGCAAGGAAGCCGTCCAATGCACGAAATATCTTCACGCCACAAACCAATCTGCAACTCATGATTTTCGTCCTTCACCTTTGAAGGATGCTGATACGAACGCGAGAGAATTGGGCGCTTCCTATCAAAGGGAACTGTGACTATTTTTATTCTTTAAGTAATAAATAAATAAGTTGATCCCTCTTCTCTTTCGATATCTGAGTGATGTAAATTGTGTATTTTGCTTGATAAGCATAGGCATAGAATTATTCCTACAATTTAGACTGTACCTGAAAATATATGTAATTCCTAGTTAAATATATGTAGGACGTTCTATTATTTGAAAGATAAATAAATGTAAGTCATACCATTTTAAAGTATTGCACTTATTTTTAAAAATGTACAGACTGCATATTCCTTTTCTCTTAACTAAGATCATTCTTCTTTAATCACCAGAATCATTTAATGGTCTTGAGCTCCTAACTAAATATTTGCGCAGTATGAAGCAAAATAGTATTCTTAAACTCGATTATGGTTACATTCTCAATAACTTCTGTAAAATAGTAATATATAATTATACATATGCTTAATAATATCTAATTAAAGTAAAAGTCATCTGAGTTACGTGGTAATTTATCTTTCCTCAGAGAAAGCCATTTCACTAATAATGAAATAAAAGGAAATACGTTTCACATTGATAGTTGAATTTTTCATAGAAGGGAAAATAATAATTCTATAAAATGTAATAGAATGAATAAAATACCCTTAAGGGAACTAATATAATAATAATATCAGTTCGAAATAACACAGAGCTTAAGAATTCTGGTAACCGGTTAGTATTCCTAGTAATGCACTACAAGAAAATTCACTGCGGTGTGAAACATATTTCTATTAATAAAGCAACGAAACATTTTCCTAAAATAATTGATAATGCACTTTTTGTAAGAAATTAAACGAAAATTCTAATGATAGGAAAAGGCAATTCTAGTTACTGAATAATTGAAAAATCGTTTAGTATGTATTATAGTTACGCATATATTAAAATAAAGGCAAATATTTTTAACAATATAGAAAAATATCTTTCGCAATGTTCGTAATAATATGAGAAAAGTACCTCTAACAAGAGTCTGAAAGGAAATTCGTTTTAATAATGCAGAATATATATTAAATTTTCAGAAAAACTAGAAATTTCATTCATAGTATAAGACGACATTTTTATTAATTGAACTGGAGGGAAGTTTCTTATTAAAAGAAGGGACAAAA